TGTGGTAATTGCTAGTACCAGAGACCCCGTCTCCTCTGGACTTGGGTTCAATCAGAGGCTAGTGTATCCGGTGGTCTCAAAAGTTATCTGAGCCCCAAGCTTGGAGAGTATGTCTCAGCCCAGAAGAGGGATGGGGCAATCAGGCAGATAAAGGAATTCATGTCGGACCTTGTGGCCCCCAAGTTCGCACTGGCGAGCCTGGCAAAAGGGCTGCTGTATCGTCCAAGTCCCGGTGGCCCCAAGGATGGTCGCAGTCCTTTTGCTGAAAGGGGCCACTGGGGAGGTGACAATAGAGTGCTCGGCCCCAGTATCAACCATAAAAGTCACTGGTTGGCCCCCTACTTTCATTCTGACCGTGGGCTCATGGGGGCCAAGGAGGAAAGAGCCCGGTTCCCCTCAGTCTGAGTCTGTTCCCGCAAGGCCTATGAGGTCCTTCTCTCGGGGTTCTTCCTTGTAGCGGCTGGGCTTCTGAGCCTTTCCCTGGTCGGGACATTTGTTTTTCCAATGCCCTTTCTCCTTACAATAGGCACATTGATCCCTTGCCAAGGGGGTTTTGGGTTCCCCCCTTTTGGTAGTTGGGGTCTCCCCATCTTGGTGTCATCCTTTTCTTTCAGGGCGGTGGCCAGGAGGCTGACTTTCTTTTTCATCTTTTTATCGGCTCCCCATTCGGCTGTGACCTCCCTGTTCATGTAGACCTTATTGGCAATGTCTATTAGTTGGGTGATGTTCATCCTGGCGAAACCCTCTAGTTTCTGAAGTTTTCTTCTAATGTCTGGGATGGCCTGAGCCACGAAGGAGGTGTTTACCATCTGTTGGCTTTCCTGTGCCTCAGGGTCAAATGGAGTGTATATCCTGTAGACTTTACATAATCTCTCGTAGTAGTCCCCGGGGGGCTCCCCTGGTTGTTGAGTGACCGAGGATACTTTAGTCATGTTCATGGGTTTCTTAGCTCCTGCCTGGATTCCCTGGAGAAGGGCCTCCTGGTATCGGCAGATGTGGGCCTGTCCCTCATCCGTGGTAAAGTCCCATGCTGGGTGCTCCTCGGGTGTGGCCGTATTAGCCCAGGCAGCAGGGTCGATGACTCCCGCTGGTGCATGCTCTTCTAGGTATTGCTGTGCTCCTGTCATTATTCTCCTCCTCTCTTGTGTGTTAAACAGGGTGTGGAGTAACTGTTGGCAATCTTCCCAGGTTTGCCGATGAGTCTGAAAGAGGGATTCCATGAGGTCTACCATGGCCTGTGGTTTTTCAGAGTAGGATGGAGTGTTATGTTTCCAGTTGAGGAGGTCGGTGGTGGAGAAGGGCTGATAATAACATCATGGAACGGCCGGGTTGGACCGTCCCATCTTCGTCGTGCCTCTTGGGTTCCCACATCTCTCATACCGGCACTTGGAGGGCACTTGAGCCTGGCCTGGGGCGCAACCTGGCTGCTGGTCCTGGAGAAAGTGGATCCTCTGGGCCTGGGGGCGCCGGTGAAACCGATGGTGGCGGAGTGCCTGGAGCTGAAGGGCCAGGTGTAGATGGTCTTGGGGGTGCGTACAGTGGGGGCAGGATCGGTTCGTCCTCGGGATCTCCGGCTAGGACTTGTGGAGACTGGGGCTTTTGCTGATCTTCTTTAGGTCGCTTTGATGAGGCGATTAAGACCCTGGCTTGTCCCCGCCTATTGCAAGCGAATCACACCCAGCGGGGAAGGGTCTGGGCAGTTCCTAGCCAGGAGTCAATGTACGGAAACCGGTCCGGTCAGGGTGTCCTGGTTCTCCTGTTACAACTTGCCATACTCGATGAATCATTGGGACATCCAATGTCCCTTCTGAAGGACACCCGACATCAAGGTGGGCCATTCCAATTCACATAGGGTTCTCAACTTGCCGGGGTTCATCCTGACTCCATAGTCTCCTGAAAACCCCTTCTTGAAATTTTTGACCATGGTCTCTAGAACCATAGGTTTACTCTGCCCTGACCCCATGGTGATGTCCCCGTGTGCGGTGGCGCAGAGACAGAAAAGTGGGGGGGGGGTGCCTCCTGAGGTGAGGAGACCAATCAGATGCCCATCTGGCCGTGTCCCAAAGGAGCTTAGGTGAGGCTTAGCCGTAGCGGTCTCAGTGTTGTGACTTACGATTGGAAATTATTCCGATGCCGCCATAGACTGTATGCCATTCACCACGGAATCGCAGATGGACCCACTCAGACTCTGTAGGCTTCTGGGGACCTTAAGGGTGCCCGCCCGTGGAGTCACAGAATCAGTCCGCTTGAGCAAGCCAGGTGGGACTGCACATTCTCTCACACATTCACACTCCAGAAGTTATTACGTTCCCTCCCTGGGAATCCCTACCTGTGAGACCTCTAAGAGGTCTCTGGGAGGTGATCAGGCTCCCCTTCCACCCCAGTGGGGGTGGGCCTGTCTGCGTCCTAGGACCCCAGGCCTTACCGGAATCTGAAGTCGGGACCAGGTCCTCACCTGCCAAGTCTCCTTGAGTCTGGCGGGAACAGCGGAGCAGGGCCGGCCCGAGGTGACCGGGGCGGGAGACTGCTGAAAATTAGGCAGCCCCTCGTTCCGTCACCGCCCCGCCGTTGCCCCCAAAACGGTGGCAACAATGGGCCAGAGCGGCTGGGTTTCCCAGTCAGGGAAGCAAATGTTACGGAACCTGGACTGGATGGCCCAACAGAAGAACTAGCAGCAGTCGGAGATCTTGGAGGATAGGAAGTTAATTTAATGCCAGTGGGCTCAGAGGAGAGTGGTCTCCAAAGGTCTGAGGCCCCAGCACAAACAAAGGGGATAACTTATACACTTTTACTTCCGTATATGTGGCACTTATATGTGGCACTTTCCGGGGGCGGCAGGCGGGGCAGGAGGGAAAACCCGGAACGGCCCTAGGGCTGGGACTGGGATTCCTTGCTGGCTTGGTTGGCCACCTTAGAACACAGATTTCCCTTATCACCAGGTCCCTGAGATCATGACCTGAGCTGAAGGCAGACACTTAACCGACTGAGCCACCCAGGTGCCCCCAGGCTGCATCTCTTAACAGAAGGTTAAGGTCAAGGGTCCTCTCTCTGGAGGGAACATAGGGGGTGGGTAGGAGACAGGGCCCCAGGTTTTGTGATGGCAGCAGTGGCTTCCAAGGAGAAGGACCAAGATGGTGCGGGGGAGAGAAAAGCTGAACTCCATTCACGCTGGTGACATGACCTCAAGTAAGACCTCTAATTGCTCTGAGCCTGACTGCCTGTTTTCTAGGATTGGCAGGAGAACACAAGCTGGTGATGTGTGTAGAAGCATCCTGCAAAGGTGGACAAAATGCAAAGGTAAGAGACACCTACTGGTTACTGGGAGGTAGGAAAGGTTACAACAAGGACTCTCAGTGGATGGTGACCAACGAAACTGGGAAGATCAGTAAGAAACTTCTTTGGGATATTTAGCAGTGCAGTACACAGTTTGAGAAAAGGAACCTTTTCTCAAAAGCAAAAAGGTTTGGAGTAGGGAGGTGGGTGAAGACGCAGGGGTCTGTTGACTGGAGCAGCTCAGAAGATCATGCAGATGGATGGAGAAGGGGGTCTGCTGTCCAGCAGACAGGAGAGGCCACAACCACAGTGTGACCAAAACCCCACCTCCCACAACCGCCATTCAACTCCGGCCACGGGGAGGCCACGCTCCCAGTCACTGCTGTTCTGACTTGCCTGTCACCTCCCTTCCCTTTCAGTTGCTGGATTATTGCTCTTAACATGGGCCCATATTGCCCATAAAAAAATAAAAGTCAGATAGAAAAGCCTTGCTATTAGCTTCATTTCACCAACAGCCCAAATACAAAGGACATCCAGAGATCGGCAATTTCTGATGAATGCTTAAAGACCAGAATCGATTTGAGAATGATAGTAAATGGCGGAGTGCTAGAAAGACAAAGTGAACTCATACAGGAGCTGACTGTCTAGTGGGGAAGACTGATGCTCTGTTCATCCAATACATGTTTATGGGGCATCCAGGCACATTCAGATATGCCCTAGAGGAGCTTATTATGGAAAACATATAAACAGGCAACTATAATCAAGGGTGGAAATACCATGATGGTGACGAGGGAAGGTTCACAGAGAAGGAGCCTTGGCAGAAGAACGACCGGGGGTGGGGCATCATGTCAAGCTCATTACGATACATGTCAGTGAGAAGGAGATAGTATTACGGGGGTTCCAAAGCAGGAAAAGTCACTATCGGCCAGGAGGGAATAAAAAGGCTGGATTTCCAGGACATCTGGGTGGCTCAGTCAGTGAAGCCTCCAACTCTTGATTTCGGCTCAAGTCATAGTCTTGAGTGAGGGACGGGCAAGGCCAGGGAGGGACAGACAGGTAGAGGGCCATGTGACCAGGCTCACAGAAATCCCAGATGTGGAGAAATGTTATAGACAAGATATTAACCAGAGAGAAGGGAACATTAACAAATCTGCCTTGTTTGTTCTAAATATAGACGAGATATTTTCCTAATATTTACAAATCTACCTTGTTTGTCTTAAATGTTTTAGACAAAATATTTACCAAGTTCCCTTGTCAGTTTTCTATAAAAGACCCACCATAAAAGTCCTCAGTGGCAACCCGTTCGGGACCCCTCTCACTCTAGAGAGCTCCTTTCCTTTCCTTTCTGTTCTCACCTTCACTTAATCAACTTTCACTTCACTTCACCCTTTTGCCCGTGAGACAAGAACCCTGCAACAGTCTCAGGGTCATGAGATGGAGCCGAGCCCTGGGTCTGGCTCTGCACTCAGCGGGGAGTCATCCTACCTCTGCCACCCACCCTTCACACTCTCTAAATAAATCTTTAAAAAACAAATATATAAAAGGCTTGATTTCCAGGGAAGTAAAGACCTCCAGGGATCAACAGGAACCTGGCCAGGCAGAGAGGAGGGGAAAAGAGTACATACAGGACTGGGCATGTTTGAGGAATGCCAGGAACGGTAATCTCACCTCAAACACTGGCTTCCCTTTGAAGAAATTTTAGTAGGTACAAATTTACTTCCGTTTACCTTTTCTTCAACTTCAAGAACTGCTGCAGTTTCAGTACTTCAGCCAACTGATTTCCAGTAAAGGTGACTTGAGTTACTCCTGTTGAGAAATCAGAATAAGAGGTGTAATAGGTTTTGGGGAACTATCCCTCCCCAGACCCCTTTTTTGGGGACACTCCCCCCAGTCCATGCTGAGCAGGCAGTCCCATGGCTTCCCTCCCCAAACTGGTTAGCTTGGAGATGGACAGTGCCTCCCTCCCAACCTCCCTCATTTGAGGATGAAGACGGGCAAACTTAGGGAAGCAGTGGTGGGCCCTTATTCAGAGAAAGACACACACATGCACACAGAGGAGGTGAGCAGGACCATGCACTGTACAGCCCCTGAATTAAGGGGCCTTCCCGCTCCACTTCCCAGTAGACTGGTCAAGCTTTGCTCCCTGCATTCCTGAGATTCCTACAACAAACCCTCTGCTAAGTGAGCTGGTCCAAGAGCACTGTGGGTCCTTGCAACCAAGAGTCACTGACTTAATAAGAGATCCAGGGTTGGGACTAGAAAAGAGCAGAAGTAGAGGGTGAAGAAAGAGAGGCTTCTGGAACAAAGCCTTGGGAAAAATGAAAGAAGATGGGAGAAAGTGACCCGGGGCTCTCAACGACTGTCCCATAACATCTGAGAGACAAGGATAGGAGGATGTGTAAGACCCAGAGGGTAGACCCAACAGGTAATTCCTAAAATCCCAACAGTATTAGACATTAAGATGGAGGCCCAGATATTGGAGGGAAGGGGCTCTTCATATGGGCATTATCCATAACAAAACAAAGCAAATAAGAATTTCATTGAAAATACAAAGGTAGGAGACTCTGAAAAGTATCTATAGCAAACAGGGAATAATTAACTATATACTGCCCATCTCCAGTAAAATAAGAAGTGTAATAATTTGAAGATTGATTTACTGTAGGGTTTTTTTTCTGTCTAAAACAATAAACATTTTATTTATTCATGGTTTGGTGGGTCAACAATTAGTGCTGGGCTCAGCCAGGTGGTTTTTCTCTGGTCTTGCCTGGTTGACATATGTGGCTACAGTCATCTGGTGGCTCATCTTGGGCTGGGTGGTAGACCAGATGACTTAGCTGACATACTACTGACTGACAAGGCTATTTATGCTGCTTTTAGGGTCTATTTTAGTAAATATACACTTTTTTTTTTTTCCTGAGAGCTTCAGAGATGTATGCCTACCATCCCATCCTCTTGCCATATTTTTCCATTGGTTCTTGAGTTGGTCAACCATGAACTCACCCACTGTAGGGCTTCACGGAACTAACCTCTTCAATCCCCCCCTACCAGGGAGCCATGATTTTGGTGAAGTTCAGAGATAAAGGTGTGTGAAAGGGAGGGGCAAGAGGCAGGGATGGAAAGGGAAGGTTCTTCAGGAGCCCTGAATGCCGAATGAAGCTGGATGGGCTTTATTCCAGCAGCATAAGAGTCAAGATGATTGTCATCGAATCCCATATCCTCTAAGATAATTACCACTCAGAAAATGTAGAAAGTTAAAATTGGGCTGCAGAGGGAAAGTATGACCCAAACCACAGAGACCGAAGCAGTCAGCTGGAAATGAAGTCAAGAGCAAGCCAGGACCTTCAGCCTTGACAGGATCCCTTGCCTGCTGCTGTTGGCTATCAGGCTTTACAAGATTCCCCTGGCTTCTGGGCCTTCTAAGCAGCCCTGTGCTCCACAGGCTTTCACTCAGCAGGTCACAGAATAGCCCCAGGGACACCAGCTGACCTGCAGGCCAGGCTGAAGGGCAGCGCTCCAGTCTGCTCACTCTAGGCCTGGTCCCCAAGAGGCTGGTACCACCTCCTGTCTCTCCACTCTGAGCAGCAGAGGCACCTGCTCTAATGTCAGTCCTACTGCCTCCGCTCTGGGCCTCGGTCTCCTCATCCATAAAATAAGGGAGACTAGACCACTGGTACTCAAAGGTGGTCATCCACCCAATTCGTCACTGCTGGTTCACAACAAGATAAGCACAGAAATTAAGAGAAACGGAGAAGCTGTTATAGCACATAAGATTGCCACACAGCCCAGCACACACGCGATCAGCAGAAGGGTCTTGTCCAATGAAGCATATGTGAGTTTCCTGTAGCTGCCATAACAAATTATCACAAGCTACATGGCACAAAACAACACAAATCTATTCTCTCACAGTTCTCGGGTCCAGAAGCCTGAAATCATAGTGTAGGCAGGGGCCATGATCCCTGCAGAGGCTCTGGAGAAGGCGCGCCTTGCCTTTTCCAGCTATCGGCACTCCTTGGCTTGTGGCCACATCTCTCCTCCACTTCACTGCCTTCTCTGTGCATGTGACATCTCCCTCTTCCTCTCTAAGGACACTTGTGATGGCACTGAAGGCTCACCTGGATAATCCAAGATGATCTCACATCAAAATCCTTATCTTAATCACATCTAAAAGACCCTTTCTCTAAATAAGGTAACATTATTGGGACACGTCTTTGGGGCAACCATTTAGCCCATGATAACTGATACGGATATTGCCCAATTTTTGTGTGACCAGTTGTACCTGGTATGCACTGTACATCCATATCAGAGCACCACTGGGGGGAAAAGGACCACTACCCTGTCTTTCACGCAGCTAGGACCCCTGCTCTACCTCTGCAGCCCTGGAGCCTGGGCTGGACAAGATCAGATTGCAATGGGCACCCCCCAGGAAAGGAAAGGTTAACAGGTGGTAGGGGTACAAAGAACAGGTGCAGACTTTCCCTCAGCCTGTCCCAAGCTGGTCTCCCACCTTCTTTGGCAAGCAATGCAGGCGCCGCCCCCCACCCCATCCTTCTATCCCTCAAGCAGCCTTGGTTGTAAAGTAGTTAAATTGATCTGTTTTCTGTTCAAGTGTTTTCAGAATTTTCAATGCTCAGAGTTTTCAACGTCTGAGTTTGAGAACAGAAGTAAGACTGTTTTACTAAAATCCTTATATACCTAGCACTGTCCTGCCACTCACATGTCCTCTCTCCAGTACCCCTCCCTGTAACCTCAAAAACACTCAGGCTTCATAACAAAATGGAGAAAGCACTTGGAGACTGGACAAATCAAGGATATCATTTCACTTGAAATTTTCTTGCCTTGTGAGAATACATCTTGCTGAAGGAATCACTATGTTGAGTTGCTTTGCTATGTTACATGTCAGCCTTAAAGGGCAGATGATGTCAAAAGTAGCTGAGAATGTTTAAAATAATAACACTCAATGCAGGTATGGCCACAGTAAAACGGGCACTCTCATCAGTCAGCTACTAGTAGGAGTTATATAACAGGCACAATCTCTCTGGAAAGCAATTTGGCAAATTCTTATTAAGTAGCTTACATCGTACATACCCTTTGACATTATAATTCCATTTTCAGAACCCTGTATTAGAGAATGAATCATAAGTGGGGACAAAACTTAATGCTCAAAGGTATCCACAGCAGTGCTATCCATGAGATAAAAAATTGTAAATAAACTTAAAAGCCAACAAAAAGGAAATGATGCGATAAATTATGGTATATCCACAAATACGGTTTTATGCAGCCATTATAATGACACTTTACAAAGGATTTTTAATGAAAATAACAATTACAAAATAACAGCTAATCCTTACATGGGCCAGGCACTATCCTAAGCTTATTATTCCCACTTTACAGATCAGAAAATGGAGGCAGCAAGAGTTAAGACACTTGCCCAAAGTCATCCTGCTAGTCGGAGACAGCACTGGGGTTTGAGCCCACCCAGCCTGGCTCCAAATTCCACGCTCTTCAGCCCAGTGGCAGGCTAAAAACTGGCCCCAAAGACATCATGACCCAACCCTGGGACCTGTCCGTGTTACCTTATACAGAAAGTGGGTCTCTGCGGATGTGATTAAGATAAGCATCTCTAGAGCGCCTAAGTGGTGCAGCTGGCTAAGCGTCCGACTCTTGGTTTCGGCTCAAGTCGTGATCTCAGGGAGGTGAGATCAAGGCCCACAGGGGGCTCCATGCTCAGCGCAGAGTCTGCTTAAGACTCTGCTCTTGTCCCCTGCGCAGGCGTATGCTCTCTCAAATAAATAAATCTTAAACAAAACTTAAAAAAAAAAAAGATAAAAATTTTAAGATGAAGAGAGATCCTTGCTTATCTGGGTACACCCCAGAGGCCTCACCTGTGTCCTCGTGAGAGAGGCAGAGATTACGCGCACGTGCATGCGCATGCGCACGCTTGTAAGAACAGAGGCAGATATGGGAGAGATGAGGCCGCATGTAAAGGAAGGCTAGCAGCCCCTGGAAGCTAGGAGGGGACAAGGGGTGGCTTCTCCCTAGAGCCTCCAGAGAAAGCACAGCCCTGCCTATACCTTGACTGGAACTTCCGGTCTCCAGAACGGTGAGAAAATCCGTTTCTGTTGTTTTAAGCCTCCCCATGTGTGGAAATTTGTTACAGCAGCCCCGGAAACTAACATAAGCCCCTATGCTGCATTGCTGTCAGTGGAAAATATTCTTGTGCGAAATAGGAAAAGTAGAAATCGAAATTTACACACAATGATCTTTTTGGGTTTTGTTTGTTTGTTTGTTTGTTTGTTTTAAGATTTTATTTAGTTATTTGACAGAGAGAGAGGCAGGGAGAGAGGGAACACAAGCAAGGGGAGCAGCAGAGGGAGAAGCAGGCCTCCCGCGGAGCAGGGAGCCCGATGCGGGGCTTAATCCCAGGACCCTGGGATCATGACCTGAGCTGAAGGCAGACGCCCAACGACTGAGCCACCCAGGCGACACCCACAATGATCTTAATTATGCGTACAACAATGCATGCAAATACAACAAAATGGTTTGTAGTGATTATCTCTGAGTACTAGAATGATGGGTAATTTTCGGCATCATGCCTTTTGATATTTTTCCAGGTTTCTACAATTAGTGTGAATTACTTTTACAAAGGGAAGAAAATTATTTTTAAAAAAATTAGCAACTCATGATATTCCCACAACTCTAACTCAATCACAGAAATTAGAAATCAAGAGGGCCAAAACTCCCTGAGAAGAAGATTTCTGAATTCAGTCTCAGAGCAACACCTGAAAAATCAGGCATCCAGATGCATGCCGTTCTCAAAGTGACTCCACTCAACCCTCGGATTCTCTAAAGCCTATTAATTTTCAGACTCTGGCAGGAACATGATGTGGCTGAAAAAGTTTCAGGCTTTGAAACAAAAGGATAATTGGAGCTGGTAATGTTTTCCTGCCTGTCTATCCAGATGAGGGGGTGCGGGGAGAGGGGCAAAGGGAGATGTCTGTGCACTCCCAGAGCTCATCCAGCCCAAAGCGGTGCGGGCCACGTGCCAAGAACCAAAAGCACTGGTTAACAAACATGTAAATGTTTGATTTCTCTGTAGGTAACTTCACAGAATGAAACATCAAATTAAACACTACGTTAATCTTCTTAGCGAAGTCCTGACTCCAAGGCTATTCTGATACAAAACCCTCCCACTGTCATCTGTACAGGCCGGCAGAAGCCCAAAGGCCAATTTTACCATAGCGACATCATGTCCTTTGATGAAATATATTCATGGAGAGTGTACTGACATTGCCCTCGCCCATGTATGGGCGCTACTGGATCAAAACAGAAGGTAGGGTGTGTTGTGTGTTTTGTTTTGAGTGGAAGAGAAGGGAAGATCACCGGTCCCCTCCAGAATGAACCAGGTCAGAGCAGTGGGGGCATGAAAAGCGAGTTATTAGGCTTTATTCAGCCCACCCTGTACAGTGCAGCAAGTTCGGGCACTGGGCTGATGAGACCACAGTGTGGTTTGTGCTTTAGCCTCAGCTTTTTCAGAGCACACTTTTATTCATTCTTTACTCAGCCAATCGATACAGACACACACCTACTATGTGCGAAGCACTAAGCGGAGGTTGGCTCACATTCTGAAAGATCTTATCTCTGACACACTACCCTCTCAGATGAAGTGATTGGGCAAATCACCCACAGCTTAATGATCTTCATCAGTCGTTTGGATCACAGGTAGTGACAAAGTGTTGCGAGGAATACCTAAACAGACCAGGCAGAGCCTTGAAATTGGGAAAAACAGAAAGCAAATGGTTTAGCACTGTGTACCTTCTTACATACCACTGACATAACACTTGTAGTTTCGGGTGATCAGCTGATGCATACTTGAATCTCCCACTTGACCATCTACTCTATACAAGTGGTTTATTAGCATTTTCTCCAAATCTTTTTTTTTTTTTTTTTTGCTTGCATTGCCTGCTTAAATCTACTAGCACCTACCTTAGGAGGGACTCATAAAATATCTGAGATATAAATCCATGCACAAATGAACACAGGTAACGTTTCCTCATCTGTAAAAGTGGAAAAGCCAGGCTACACAACTGTTTCCCAAGGGAGATCCCAAAAAACCTAACTCTATGAGATATACCAAGAAAAGGAGGTTCCCATGCCATTCAACTTGGGAAATACCACGTTCTACAGCCTCCCACCCCCCTTCAAGATTCCTAATGCACATTATATGGTGAAGGATCTTCCATTCAAAACCTGCTGAACATCTTCAAATCTAGTTAAGCACAGATGCCCCCCCTGCTTAACACTTACTGACATCACGGAGAACCAGTGTTCTAAGGAAATTCCGGAAAAATGCTAACCCAAACTCCTCATTGGTTCAAAAAACATGTATTACGCCCTTGCAATAATGGTATGATTACGATGAAAAGAGCCAACACTGAACAAGTTAGCATTTAATAGGTACAGTCCTTAGGCGCTATATGCCACCAAGACAAACATGAAACCTGGCTCACAGTCCACTGGAAGAGATCTGAGAACATATGATCAGTAAAACCACTATACATAAAAGCCCCTGCGTATGTATGTGTGTGTGTATACACATTGGCACACGAGGAGGGAGAGCTGGTGAGGACAAGTGTTCCCGGCATGTGCGAAGCAAGAGTCCAGTGTGTGTGGATAAAGGAAGACAATGTCGTTTTCAAAGTAGGGTCCCAGACCCTCTCGGTGGCCACCGCAAGGTCAAAGCTACCTTCACCTGTGTTGACGTATGCAGTGACGGTGCAAAGGCAACGCGGGGGAACATTGCTGGTGCCTTCGCGAGAATCGAGGAGTGGCATGTGACTGTATTAGTTGTCACTGTATTCCCCAAGGCCATGCACTCACCATTTAAAAAAAAAGGTCAATTTCACCTAAGAACGTCCTTGATGCAGTAAAAAATATTCATTGCATTACATATCAACCCTTAAGTACACATCTTTTTAATTTTTTTTTTTTTTTAGATTTTATTTATTTGAGAGAGCAAGTGTGAGAGAGAGAGAGAACATGAGCAGGGGGAGGGTCAGAGGGGGAGGGAGAAGCAGGCTCCCCACTGAGC